ACAATATCTAATGTTTATCAGAAATGTTACTTAAAATTGAAAAAGAAAAAAATGAAAATATTTTTAGATTAGTTGTATTGTCTATTTGATAAAAACTTTTACTAAAATATTTAACCCTAAAATTACATTTTACCTTTAATGTTAGCAGATATTTATATATCATTTTGTGCTAGATAAAAGATTTAGTACTGGAGGAGTTTATTATTAAATTAATTAAATTACTCTTTATACCTTAGAAATAGAATAAGATAATAGAAAAAGAGAAATAATCAGTATTATACTTCCATCTAAATAAATAACTGAAGATACTGTGAATCTAATCAGTGAACTAACAGCTTCTTGTTCAGGTGAAGATAAAAATGGTGGAGAGTGTACATCACCAACTGAGTAACTAATATATTTTCCACTTTAAATGAATGCAGGGAAACTAAATAATGAATGCATACCAACAAAATAAAAATGATTGTTTTAATCGAAGCTTGCCTTCTTCATTTTTTCTTGGTTCTCAAGGTCTGCATAATGTTAACTGCAATCTGCAGACTTGATAATTTATTCCATGCGTGTTAATTCATAACAGTTTCGGTATATGATGTCATCATAATATCTTTTTAAGATAGCGTTTTTTTGTTGTTGTTTTTTTTAAAGATTTAAGTAGTTTTTCTACTACAATCAGAAAATCAAATATTTGTATAATTTTTTACTAAATCACAAAAAATATTAGTGATTTAGTAAAAAATTATACAAATATATATATATATATATATATATATATATATATATATATATATATATATATATATATATATATATATATATATATATATATATATATATATTTATATATATAATTTTTTTTTACTTGCTTTATTATTACTTTTTAGAAGCCAGCCAAAATCATGACACAATTAAACATATTTTGTGATTATTAGAGTTCACAGGCAAAGTAAAAATAAAGACAGTATGATGCGGTTTCTTATTTTATATTTAGTTCATATGGTTTAGAGTTGTTCATTTATAATATATAATAGACCCTAACCCTAATCCTAATATAATAGAGTTGTTCATTTTGTTTAAGAGCTATATTATGTAATTATAAAAAAATTATCACAAAGTTAAAAAATCTTGAATAATCCTTCATAAAAAAAACTTCTTTAAATTTAGTTATAAAATAAAACAGCATAAACACTGTAAAATTAACTTGTAGAAGTGTTAAATATTAAGTTAAGTAATTACCAAAGTACTTTGTAGAAAAAATATTACTTTTATTCATTAAACGAGGTTTGTTTTGGACTTGATGTTTTAGTTACTACTTATAAAAACAATGGTTTTAAGCACTTTGCATTTCTTATTGTTTAATGATGCGTGTTAAAAACTTTATTATTATCGAATTTTAATTAATTGTCAATGTTATGCTATTCAAATGCTATTCAAAAAAAATGTGCAGTTGCTACAAAAAAAATTTTGTTCAGCTGGTAGTAAACAAGTTATTGCAATTCTTTGTTTTTATATTTATATTATAACTATTTCTTGTATATTTTAGTACAAATATTTGTTTTAACTTTAATTTAGTTTGATTTGAACAATAATTGCTTAAACAGTTTGTTTAATATTTATTTTCTACTTAGTTCAGTTTATATGTTTTATTCAAGTCACTTGTTTTTTATTCAGTTTATACTTTAAATTAATTTATATGCTTTAGTAAAATAATCTTTTTAGTATCTAGTTTATATTTAGTTTAAATTTTTTAGTATCTAGTTTATATTTAGTTTTATATTTAGTTTATTATGTTTTACTGTAAATATTCGTTATATATTAAATTTATTTTTTTATAAATTTTATAAATTTAATTTTTAATTGCATCAAAAATTTTTTTGGGATTTTAGTAAAAAGTTATACAATTAACATGATTTGGGAATGTGGGAAAAAAAAAAAAAAACATTTGCAAGAAAAAATGTATACAATGATGTCATATATCGAAACTGCTATGAATTAAACACGCATTGAATAAATTATCAAGTCTGTAGATTGTGGCTAACATTATACAGACTTCGAGAACCAAAAAAAAAAAATGGAAATGACAAGCTTCGACTAAAACGTGTACTTTAAATTTAATGATGTACATTCATTATATAGTTTTAATCAATAAAATTTAGCCCAAATGTTTTTTTTAAACATTTTCTTTAATATGAACACAACTTGTCTTGGCAGTTGGGGATCCCTTTAAAGAAATGTTAAAATGTATGAATGTATACTATAAAATCTGAAGCCACGATTTATAATTTAACCTTCCTCTTTGTGTTCTATTAAATGACAAAATCAGAATTTTTTTTAAACAATGCTTATATTTATTTTGAACTTTTCCTATTGCATAATAACAAAAAATGGTTATTTAAATTATAAATAGAAAAATAATAAATATTATTATATAATTCTTAACAGCCACGGTAACCAATTGTACTGAATGCAACCTTATTTTAAATAACTTTCAAAAGTAGGAGACTTTCAAGATTAAATGTTAAGCTATTTTTAAAAATTTACTTTTGTTGATGCATTATTTTACCTAAATCTTCTGATGAAATTTAACTAAATTGATTAGTTTGGTAACTTTTAAAGAAATGAGGTTTCCAAATAGCAATAGCAATAATTTACATGTAAAGAAAACTTTAAAAGTTAATATCTATGTGGTTTGTATATCTATACTTTGCTATCACATTTAGCCTACATATTTTCTTCTAGGTGACCCTATGGGCCCAGCCTAAAGGGTCAATCTCTTAAATCACTTCATCTCAGAACTACTAAAAGTGGAGATAGAATGCTAATATTCTAAGGTCACGATTTGTTTATTGTTGTAGTTTTGAGAAAATGATGGTTTCTCATGCTGATAAAAATATGTTTCTATTTAAACAGGTTTAAACAAGGCAACAACCCAAAACACACTTTTAAATTTGTTAAACATTTGCAACAAATCAAATTGAAGTAATGAAGTGGCAAACTCAATTATCTGAACTCAATCCAATTGATAATTTATGGCATTAAGTTGAGCTTTTTTTAAAACGCAAAGAATCCTTAACTCATTCCATGTGAAGCCACATGGAATGAGTTAAATTCATCAATGCCAAAAAATGTACCATGATCCTAAAAAGTAAAGGATATACCATTAACTATTTATTTTAATTTGTTTTTTTAGCAATTATATAAAAGTTGCTAATGTTTTGGAAGAATACATTTTTATATTAAAACAACATGTGTGTTATTTTATATGTACTGGCATTTAAAAAAAATAACATTTTTAGGTAGTCTTATTATGTACAAACTTTTTCCTATTTTTAGGTAGTCTTATTATGTACAAACTTTTTCCTACACTTAATATCAACAGTTTGATTTCATTTAAAGAGTTTTTTTTCTTTTTTTTTGAGAAAAAAACTGTTTTCAAAAACTGATGTTGAAAATATACAATTTTTTATTTGATTGCTTATGTATAGGAGAACAGTGTATATGCTACTCATAACGTGTAACCCAATAATTCTTGCCAAGGATGAAAACTGGACATACATAACTTTTTATATATATTATTTATAACTGGATATATATAACTCATTAGTTTTTGTTCATGTTTTCTTGATATTGGCTATATTGACAACTCTTTCTGTTATTTCCTAATATGAGTACAGCTCTAAAACTCAGTTAATAGTTTTGAGGCTGGGTTTTCCAAGACTCTGTGGTAGCTCTAAGAGAGACTGATTCTTTCGGCAGCTGTAAAATATCAGAGTATTAATAGAGTCATGTTATGCATAGAGGTACACCTGTTGTACTTCTAGTGAGCATTGTCAAATCCACAAGGGGCCCTTAATTACAATTTTGTTTTAATTAGTAGGATGCAACCACATAGGTTATTGCTTAAGATTTCATACACTATATTTGAGGCATTTCCTTTGAATATTAAAAACACAAAGTACCTAAAATTATTATTAAAAAAAAAACAAAAAAAAAACATTACCACCAAATTGTTTTAACTTAGACTTTATATACATATTCATGGTTTTTGAAGTAACCTTTCATTCTTTAAACCTTATATTTTGTAAAATTTGCCAGACTACTCTTACTCAGTAAGAGTAGTCTGGCAAATTTTACACAGTAATACTGTGTCATTTACTTTACATCTTCTCTGAATACTATTCACTACTGACCTCTCATAGAAACCATATATTTAACCTATTACAAAGTTAGCATCTGCTAAAGTTGCCTCTTTTATCCTGCTTACCATTTTCTTACTCCTGATTCCATTCTATATAAATATAATACCTATAAATCTCTTTTTCATCATTGTATACTATCATTTTTTGATAAACTTATGTGCTTATTTTGCTCTTAAGACCAACAGTATCTTCAGAGCATCAGTTCATACAAAATTACAAAAAAAAAAAAAAAAAAAAAAAAAAAAAAAAAATATATATATATATATATATATATATATATATATATATATATATATATATATATTAGGGCCCTGCAAATAGGCAGTTTTTTGTTTCGAATCCAATCTCGAATCAAAGCAGGTCTTAATTCAGGATTCGAATCACGTTTCGAACCAACATTTTGAAGTCTAAATTTAAGCATTTTTTATTTAATAATAAAATAAAATAAAACAAAGCAATTGTATCTCTTTATTGATGCTTCTTGCCCTGGTTAACCTTTAATGACTGATTAAAAAGGTATTTAATGATAAGTAACGTTATTTAGATAGCGCCAAAGCGTAGAATATCTAAAATACTAACAATAAAAAAAAAAATAAGTAAGGATTCAATTTTTAAAAATTTTCGAATCGTATCTTGAATCATATTTTTGATTCGATTCGAAATTTTGAAGCTTAGCAGGGTCCTAATATATATATATATTAGGATTTTAAATAGGAGATATTTGACAAAGTTAAGTGTAACATAAGCGAATTAAAATACTTCTACACACTACATTTTCTAAATTTAATATAGACCTAAAAATACCTGATCTTCTGCTATTGGCAATTTCCCCTCCATGGCTACTAACTGATCATAATACCTTCGAAATAAATGCAAATAATTTCATTGTTTAAAAAAAAAAACTTAAATTAATAATGGTCAAGGTTTGACAAGATGCCATACTTTTTATTATATCTGCCTTAACCTTATCAGTGGTGTAAACTGGATTTTTAGATGTTTGAGTTTTGACACAGGCATTGTGCAAACTCCAAACTTTTGTATATTCATGCTTATGTCAAATGAGAATGTTTTGCAAAGAGTTACGGTGATTGGAGTTTGGGGACAAAAAACCCCCAATTTTTGGACCCACTCAGCCCTTAAAGTGGGAGCAACAAGTTTATAAAATAATTTGTTTAGTGTTTATTTAAGTTTATATTCATCAACAAATTTCAAATTTCATGCAATAATCTCTTTGTGTTTAGTTTTTATGACCCTACAATGTTTACAGCCCCCTTCAAATTGAGGGGGGTTAAAACTTTATATGGTCATAATTTTCAAAAAAATAAGAGAATATTGCATGAAATTTGAAATTTATTGATAAATATAAACTTAGATAAAAATACTAAAGAAATTATTTTACAAACTCTTTGCTCCCACATTAAGGGCTGGGTGGGCCCAAAAATTGGGGTTTTCTTCTAAAAATCCAGTGTACACCACTACTTACATTCTATAACAAACGAAAAAAAGTAGTAAAACCAATTAAAATACTTTTGATATCAATATTATAAAAAATAGCCTTTTCTTATTTGCAAGCTATAGATAACAAAAATCATTTTTTAAATTTTTCTTTAAATTGTTTTATATTAACATTATTTTAAATAAAATATTATTATTATTATTATTATTTTTATTATTATTATTATTATTATTATTATTATTATTATTATTATTATTATTATATATCTGACAAAAGTACCTTTGTAGAGTTTCTACTGATATTTCATGTTTATCTAAAGAATGAACAACTGCATTTCCACGAAGCTGGCTGAATTCTGCAATTACATTTTTATTTTCATTAAGCACACTGCTAGAAAATGTATTAGTTATGTAGTTTGAAATAGGCTTTATTATATCAACTGCTTGAGTTTTTTTTAATGGACATGTTAAGAATGAACTCATTGTTTTGTACGATTTACTAAAACAAATAAAAAAAATACTAAAACAAATAAAAAAAAAACTTAAAGTTTTTAAATCAAGATAAAAAAATTAAAGTTAAAAAAGGTTAAAGAGATTTAAACAAGAAGATAAAAAGGTTTAAATATTTTTAAAAAAAGTTTAAACAAGACTCTGTATATTTCTCTTGTATAATTTAACCATAATTTAATAAGATAATAAATATTTTTTTCAATAGGGAATAATAATACTTTAAATAGGGACACCATAGGTAAAAAAGTTTTTATTTCATATTTTTTAGATTAGATTATTTTTTTGTATTTATTTCATATTTTTTAGATAAATTTTTTCCTATTTAAACAACATAAAAATTTTAAAAATATATTCTAATTACTAATTAAGAAATATTTTTAAAATTTTTATGTAAAAATTAATATAGATTAAAATTCATTATGAAAATTAAGATAAAAATTTAAATTAATTAAATTTAAATTAAATTCTAACGTAATTCCATAACAAAATTTTTTACATATTGCTCTGAAAAAGAGTTAAAAAATATGGATAGCTTCAACCTTAAGACTTTGTAATAATAGCAGTCACATAGGAAGGGCTTAATGACAACAGGTGGCAAACCAAGGCACGAGAGCACTTGCAAAAATTTTTAGTACATACTATATCTAATAAATATATATATATATATATATATATATATATATATATATATATATATATATATATATAAATTTTATTCATCTTATATATATACATATATATATATATATATATATATATAAATTTTATTCATCTCCATAAGTCCAAAGGGACCACTACAGTTGAGAAGGCTGCTTTTTTTTAATATTGTGGTTACACTTTCTTGACTTTTTTATTCCCAAAAAAAAACTTCGACAAACAAGATTGTTGTGTAGAGAAACAAGTTAAGATTGGTACTACCAGGAACTTTTCATTTTCAAAGCATGTGCTTTACACTGCATAATTAATACAAATGAACTGTTCAAATAATTTTTCAATGCTCCAAAAAATATAAAATACAATGAAATTTTGTCAACTTTGCTTACTATTATAAATTATGTGTAAAGTCAAATTTACATGAATGGTTATAACAACAGTCTACACCAAATAAATTCACTGTTTCTTACTTGCTTAATAGAGAAAGTATATTTCTATACAATAAAGTGTATACTCATAACAATAAGAAGTGTATTTGTAGAAATAATTTGGTCTACTGTCATTCATTTTTACAAACTGTTTAGAAACTTTTTTAATGTTAATTTTACCCATTTGTTTTTGTTGATTTAAACAGACATGATGTTTTTCAGGTGATTGCCTCCAGTTTTGTGACCTGACTTGTTTTCACTCTCTTCACTCTACCAAAGTTTTGTTCATAAGATGATTTCATTAGAAGCAAAGCTGATATGGAAACCCTTGCAATTATTGTCACTCTGCAAATACTTCATAATTACTTGATGAACTACATTGGTACGCATTTTACAGGTTGAAGACTGTTGAGTATTGTCTGGAGTTCTGCAATTTTCTCTAACAGCACTTTAATCACTTTTCCCTGTGGTGTCCATCAATTTATTGAAGTAAACTTATACATATTTTAAATTTACTAAAACATCTATTGCATAAATTAACTGGAAGATGTCAAGGGAACCTGACAATACTGACGATACTGCATGTGCAATCTTAACAATTAGCTCATTACAATGTGCCATGCAGTAAAAATGCTTTTTTCAGTTTTACCAAGTATTTCAAATCTGATCCCCATCAAAGATATTTCCGGCAACTTTATTTAAATTGTATTTAAAAAAAATTTCTGCAACTTATGTCAGCAAGACATCAGAATACAAGATATCAGTTGGTGTATTCATATACTTCAATGAAATCTTAATTCATTAAGTAAGTTTTCAAATTTTTGACTGGCATGACTAACTATGTTAGTTATATCTTGAATATTTCAATAATGACTACCTATGTTAATTATATCTTGAGTATTTCAACAAAGACAATAAAAAGGTTTTTACAGTTGAAATTTTAACTAGAAATACAAAAAATACAATTTATTTATATTGCTTACTGAGCAAATTCAAAACGTCAATACAGTTCTGCATAAAGTTTTTTTTTTTTCAAAGTATTGAGGAAAAAAACTTTTTAATTTAAATACCATACTAATAGCAACATTAAAATATTTTAAATAACCATATTGACCAAATGGAGCAATTCTGCTAATTAACATACCACAATGCCATCTACTTTATTAGAAAACATAACATTTTTAATAAAAAGTTTTTTAAACCTTATTCCCAGAAAAGACTATTATTGTTGCTTATTTGACACCCGAACTAAAAAAGGTGTAAGCAGTTGTTATATATAGGGATGAGCAGTATACACATTGTAGTTATTGACAATCTACAGGAAGATTTAAAAAACTTTACCACAAATCAATACTTTCCATCACCTAGCATTGTTTTAACTCTTAAACCATTTTTTAACCTTGTTAACTTGAAGAAGGTTATGTAAATCAAAAACTAAAATCTAACATACTTCAACTTATTGTTACTCAAGATTCCTTACTTTTTTCTGAGAATAAACTTTTTTATAATAATAAATTAATTTTTCTAAGGTAACTAAAAACAAGTTTTTTTTTTATTTAAGTTCTTCTATCTCGTAACAATTACCTTTTCTAAAGTATACTTTTATCTATTTATAAAAACTTTGTCATTTGTCAAAACCAATTTTTACACTTTTTTCTCAATTTCAAAATATTATCACTAAAATAATATATAACTAAATAAATAATTGCTATTTTGCATCTTCTGTCTAATAAAAACAATAAATTTTATGAAATTTTTTTAAAAAAAAGTAGCAAAACTATTTAGAAGTCTTACATAAGATATTTTTGAAAAGAGATATTGTAAATAATACAAAACTAATTTAAAACAAAAACCTTGAAAAAAATACTAAACAAAAAATAAAAAAGCAACAGCAACAAAAAACTAAAAAAAAAAAGAAAAGAAAAAAACAGAAAAAAAAAAAAAAAAAAGAAATACTAATAATGATATTATTAGTGTTTAAGATTTTTGTTGAGTTAAAGGGGAAAAAATAAATAGTCTTATTGGAACTTTTAATGGATAAGTTGCTAATAAAATTGAATCAAAGTTATTACAGTCATAGTAACATATTATAATCATTGATTAACCCACTATAATATACAATATCTAAACTATTATTACTATAATAGTTACCCTTTATTATTATTATTACATATATTTTTATTTTTAAAACCATTATATAAGTAAAGAACAAATAAGATGCTATCTTACTAATAGTCATCAGCTTTCTGTTTGAGTTATGTTTACATCAAGCATAACAGCATTATATAATAAAAATAACAGTATTTGTCTCGCCTACCCGACTTTGACATTAAAGGGATATGTTACAGTTTTATTACATCATAATCATTGTACTATATGCAGGAATCATATGAACACCTTTTCCCCTACAAATCAGGCAGCTTAAAGGCAAAGTAAAATTACCGTCTTTTGAATTTTTCATCAAAATTTGAAAATTTTTTGAAAAAAACCTTTAATGCCTTCCCGGCTAGCAATTAGCTAGCATCATTCGTTACGATAAAGACAACGATTAGGCCAGAAGGGTCGCTAGCTAGCGATTAACCAGCAAAAATTTGTATATATTACTTATTCATGTTTATTACAAGTTGCTATTATACGATTATTATTTTACGATTATTACAACATATTATTACTTTATATGGTTTTTGTTATATTGTTATAAACTGGAAATTGATAAAAATATGACAATTTATGGATGAAAAATAAGAACTGAAAAAAAAAAAAATTGGGGTATTTTTTTTTTTAAAAACTTAAATTTGTTAAGTCGAATTAAAAAATATATATATATACTAAGTTAAAAAAGTCATAAAAATGACCACAAAAACTGATTTTCTGTAAATTATTATTTTTTTTAAATTGGCGATTTTTTTTTACTTTAGACAGCGAAAAATTTAACGAGCATTCCGAATCTGAAAAAATAGAAAATCCAAAATGCCCCGCTTTTTTTAAAGAAAAATTTATCAAATACGACTAAAGAAGAGAAACAATTTTAATTTAAAATAATATTTATTTGATTAAATTTATATGCTGAATATATGCTGATTTTTAAAACAGAAAACTCTATTTAGTATGCTGAATTCAACTAAAACTTAGTTTAAAAAATGTCCTACCAAATATCAATTAAAGGAACAAGAAATTAAAAAGCTCTTAAAACATTAAAATAAAGATGAGAGGGTTCAAGAAAAATTAAGTATTACTAATAATCAATATTACAAATAATAAAATAAAATGTTTGGAGAAGTACTAGCCATTACCCTGATAAGAGTCTTTATAATATTATTATAGAAGTTATTCTTACTTCATCAAACATTTTATGAGCGCAAACGTATTATAAAAGTCAACAAGACATAAGTTAACAGACAAAAAGTATATATTTATCAATTAATTTGTTACAAGCAAATCAAGAACATCAGCCGTTAGATGTTCGCCATTTTTTGTCTTGTAAGGTTAAAAGGTCTACAAAAATTAGTACTGGAAAGACTTATGTTTAGCCATACTGTTTCATTGTTCACAACATGTTTTAGTGGAAGCAAGGCTGTCTGGAACGTAGTTTCTTCATTCTTTAAAGCCTCCTGCAACTCTGTATCCGCATATTTTTGCTTGTATAAACTTTGGCTAGCTGAACCATCAAATCTAATTTTACAGTACCAACTACCTCCTTTATCATCACCAAGAACCTCCTGGCACTCTGGTAGTACTGAAATTCGACACAGAGTGTGATCTAGCATGTTTTTTAGGAGACACACAGCTTGCGTTTCAAATATAATATAATCAGATTGATAACATTTCTGCTTTTCTTCAAATAACACGTGTTGGATAAATGTCAGATTTTTGCATTAGTGAACTGTTTTTGATTAGTTGGTACTGGTCATCTGAAAGGTCACATTGTATTTTAAGACTGAGGGCATCTGCAGAACTCATCTTACTTGACTGATTGTTTTTATTTTTAATTTTCTTTACAATCACTTCATCTCCGTTGCATGCAGTTGTGTTCTGTTGAGCTCTAAATGCTGTTTTATTATGTGCTTCTTCAGGAAGCTGAGATAGTTCTGTAACTTTTCTACGTTTACTCCTTTCTGAAAGCTCTCTCTGCTCTATAGAATGTCTCCCTGAGTTTATCTTACATATTCCTTACTCAAGATTTTTTTTTACTCTGTTTTCATAAACTGAAATATTTTCTTTCAACCAGTCTTTTTTTTTTCAATCAGTCTTGCAAAGATGCAGTGATGCCTCCTGTATTTTATTTTTTTAATTTACTGATAAATACCTTTAATGTAATCTGTAAATTGGTTATATCAACACTTCCCTCTTCTAATTTATCATTTTCAAAAACACAATTGACTAGATGTAAGTGCAGATTTTTAGTACAAATTCCTAAGTTCTGGATCACTAGATCTCTTCTTTTCATGATTAAAAATAAAAATAAAACAAAAAATGCATTATCTTAGCGAACATGTCCTATTGGGGCCCATACGGGTTTACCCTAGTGGACCCTATAAAGGCTTCATGTATGGGTCTAAAATGGGCCCCATGTGGGCTAGCCCTTGAATACAAAATTTTGTATTCAAGGGCTATCCCTGATGAGACCCATTTAAGGCCCATATATGAAGTTAAAAAAGCGTTAAATTCCATCTTATTTTCTAAATTTAAATGCTATCCGATCGTGCGCGCGATGGTATGAGGTACTCCGCTAGGAAATTAGCTGGAAGAGTATAAATCACAATAGCGAACTTACTTTATGAAAACCCCCCGTTTCGTTTCTCAAATGTAATTACGTCTCAAAGCTTTTCTCAAATTTTATACTAAATTAAATTAACTCTTTTTTGAAAAATCTTTTTTTTTATTTAAAGTAAAGTCATTTTAAAGATTCCGTAATAGTGCTATCAATGCCATGTATTAGTGGTAGTAAAAGAGTTTTAAATTGTATTGGAAAATTATTTTTTTATATATATAAAAAGTTTTTGAAAGTGTATACACTATTTGAGTTTTTATAAACCCACAAACAAAAATGTATACAAAATGACACGTCTTGAAGAGGTCTCTATAATTGAGTCATTAAAACATATTCCAAAAAAAAGTATGTATTTACAAAAAAAAAAAAAAATTGTATTTACTTATTTACATAAGGCTATTACTTTTACTATTTTTTCATTAAAATACTGTAGTATATTTATATTTGTTTATTATTGTTTACCTTATTCTTTCTATGTTTGATTTCCTGTTTTACTTCTATAAAGCTAGACTCACGTGACATATTTATGACTACATATTAAATTAAATGTATCTAATTTAAAAATAAATAATTATTCAAAATTTTATAAAAAATTTAAATAAATAAAAAAGTGGTTCCCACATATGCAGCCCATTTGGGCTGCCCACTTGGACCCCAATTAACGCCTAGCTACAATTTTTCTTGGGCGGGATGTGGGCAACCCATTTTGGCCCCATAAAGTTGTCCACTTGGGCACCATGTGGGGCCCAAAATGGCTGGGATCTTATATTTTACGCATTAGTGCATCAATAAAATTAACACAGCTAATTACCTTCCGTGTTTCCGCGGTTTCCGCGTTTTTATGATCAAAATGTAATAACACGTAATGATCAGAAGAGGTTTAGAAAATTACACCATAAGTAAATTAGTTGCTGTAATTTGCAGGCATAGAAAGAAATTCAATGTTCCACTGTTGTAAAAACCAGATAGTTATAGTTATCTGGTTTTTCCAATAGTGGGGATAGAATTTCTTTAGCCAGAAATTTAAAGTAAACAGAAGCAAAGTAAAAAAAATTGTTCGTTATCTATAATTTTTATGTAATAAATTGGTGAAATTTTATATAATAAAGTGATTTGTAATAACCGCTATAGCGGTTATTACAAATCAATCGATTATTTTTATTTTAAAAAACTTATTTTATTTTTCAACTACCTTTAAAATTTGTATAATAAGAGTAAAAATTCTAAGATAGCTAAGTTATCATGGCTTAAGAAAAATATCTTCATGTTCCAAAAAATGGTTTTGTGTTTCCTTAAATTACTGATCTATCTGCTTTTTATGTTATCTTTCTAACTTGATTATATCCAACATTTTTACTTTTCACAATCACACAGTCAACTACAATATAGGGAACGAAAAATCGACCATTTGCGGTGATCGGACTTCTGCGGTGATGGTCGGTTATCAGCTAACGCAGTGGTCGGTGATTGCGGTGCGCGGTGATGGATTGGCGATGACAGCGGTTAGAGGTGTGCAATGATTGTTGGCGATTGTCGGTTAGCGGTTTTCAGTTTTCAGACCATCACTGCAGAAGTCCGATCACCGCAAATGGTCGATTTTTCGTTCCCTACTACAATACAAAACCACAATACGTAAGAAACTTTATATAAACGGTTAATCTAGATCTAATAATATAGAAATATTTCATAACTGCTAAATTATTAATCACCATCGGATCACTGCAAAATGGAAATTATATCCTGCGCATAAAAATTATAGACAACGAACAAATTTTTTTACTTTGCCTCTGTTTACTTTACATTTCTGGCTAAAGGTATATAATTAATAGGATAAGGAATGTAATATTTATATATAAAATCAAATAGTTTTGATAAACTAATTAATTCAAAAGAAAAACTAACAGCCAATCGCAATTGCAAAAGAAAAACTAACAACCAATCGCAAATGCAAAAGAAAAACTAACAGCCTATCAATCGCAATTGCAAAATCTAGATGTCTTTAATTAGCACGTGAAATTGATTTAAAATAAATACAAATTTAGCCATAATTAACTTTAGATACATGATACACTTTTAAGAGCCGTTTTTTCTAAGAATCAGGCAAATTCCTGAAACTGTGAAAGTGACCTCGTCCAAATTGCTTGAATTTTTTATATATTGATCAGAATATAGAGAAAACCTGTTAAGGAAAAAAAAAATTTCAAAAATGTTTCGTTCACTCGGAATCTGGGCTTAAATTTTTGAGATTTTTTTTAAAATTTTTAGAAATTTAGTTTTTGCCACCTTTGAACTCATTTTTTTGGCAAGGCAAAAAGTTGCACATAGCTTTTGTAGTTAATATCAGACGTAACCCAAAAGCTCTCTCCAAAAAATATAAAAAAGTTGTGTGACACTGTGCGGTTGGCTAATTATCATAGTTCAAAAGTACAAAATCAATCAGTTTTGTCAATTTCTAATCGGAGTTAATTCTAGCGGCGAAGTGTTGCACACAATTTTTCTTTTAGGATTTGAAATTATCAAAGGTATTGAGTCTAAAAATGCAAAGAAAGTTATGTGATACCTAAGGCCTATTAATATATATTAAGGCTTGAAATTGGAAAAAAATGTTATAGTATACTTACAAAATGAACCATTACGGCAGAGGCGCTTAGTTTTGTAAAAATGTAAACATATCCAACTGTCAATACAAAAAGGTCCTAACATAATAATAAAAAAAATTCGTGTGATTTTGTCACACGCATGATATAACATGAATTAAAAACTGAACAAAAATCTAACATCAAGATAACTATATTGCTAATTAAATAAAACATAAATCAAACATTTAAATGTTTTTCCATTTAAAAATTAGTTTTTCATTTATTAATAGAGTCATTTACACACATTATCCACCACATCACACATAATTTCTACTCTGCTGCAGTAAGTTTCTCTAAGAATAATGATATGACTGTATTATAGTCTTCTTCGGATAATGAATAATCGCCACAACCACTGATTAGAAAAGGAGCATTTACTAAACAGATAATTTTATCAGTTTGGTTATTTATCTCCTCGGTAGTAACTGGCCAGCGAAAAGTATTCTTCCCTTGCCCGTTAATCATACAATTAACTCTGATCCCAGTTATAGATACCTAAAAGTATTAGCGCAACATTTAAAATAATATAATAAAGAGTTTATGATTTGTTTAATTTTGCTTACATTCAATAAAGCTTGTAAAGTCTTATATAATGTCATTCTGAAATTATTTTTACATTTTATTTATATTCCTTTTATTTTAGAGCACTGTTTTGTAAAACAAAATAAAAACTTGAAACTAATATATACTTTGAATAATATTACCTCCACAATATATCCAATATTCCATTGTTTTTCATATGCAACAGCAACCCAATCATTCACTTTCCATACAAGACAAATTTCTTTTGCAAGATTGGCGATGTCTTCCTCATATTTATTATCATCTTCATTGTCTCCTGTCAGATTAAAGTCATCATTTTTGCCATAAACTTCTTTGTTATCGTTAACCTGACTATTTTCATTATTTTCTGTTGTCGGTTCTACCAGCTTACCTTTTCTTTTCAGGTTACTAAATCTATAACAATATCAGTTGTACATATTTTTAAACATATGTAAACAAACACACAAAATTATAACTTTCACCTAAATTTTAATTTCATATTTGTAAAAGAACTATTTAACAGTCAGAAACATAATCTAATTTGCAAAAGTTTTGATAGCAACAATGCCTACCTTGAAAATAAAGATCTTATCTGTTGGCTAGTTACATATTGATCAGGCGGAAGTTCTCTCCTCAGCTGCATGTGAACCTGCTCAGGGCTCATTTTATTACCTGATTCTTCTCCACGAATAAAGTATTTATACAACAGTTCTTTTTGCTGATTTGAAAGTCTAAAAGAACTTCGAACTGGTAATGCCCAACCTTGCAATAGAAAAATGTTCATGCAATGTGGTTTGTCTTTTACGGAAGCACTGTTAGAGGATGAAGAAATTGGCGTATTTAGTTGTGAAGTAATTTTCATCTTATGAACAAACGAGTTGCGAACTTTATCCAATGATGTTACTGATTTCGGAACTGTATGAAGACCGGATAGCATGTGTTCTTCTAACTCAGCATCGCTTTCAAATGATAAAGTACAATTCATTTCAGTGCAAAATCTTAATGAATATAATTGCCTGTCACTTCTTTTCTGTTTTTCCTTAAGTGACTTGTTAAGCTTAATTGAATTATCTGTTTTGCTATATGGCAACAACAACTTAATCGAGGGTTGAATTTTAAGATTTCCATACTCTTGTTCAATTCCCTCACCGATATTGAAATAACGCCACATCTTCATACTTTTCTCACCAAACTCAAATGAGTGATAGTTGCTAATGTTCTTAATCTTTGGTCCAGTAACTATAGTTTTATCATTGCTAATTTGAGCAACTGCTACTTTTGCATCTTTAGCGCCAAAACTATAATGCATAGCCTTGTGTATATCTTCAGCAGTCAAAAGATTATTACCAGAGTCAACGTAACTCCTTAAAATTGTCTTTACAACTGCACTCTCCCTGTCACATTGATCTTTTCCACAACAGGGTTCATTATAATCATATCTCAGCAACTTTATATCTCTCTCTTTGCATACATTGTAGATTGCTTCAGCTGAAAGATTTCCCTGATAGCAGCCGGCATTATCTGATTTGGTAAACATTTTCTTTATATGCGGTTGATCGATTGTTTGAGCTATGAGAAGAAATGTTTGAGTCATTGACACTACAACTGGTTTGATAACTTGTTTTCAAATACCTTTTTCCTTTTTCAAGGGCAGCTTCGAGAGATTTAGAACTAAATCTTTGTGCCAATTTTTGTAATGTTTGAAAACCATTCATGCCTGAAGCAGTAACATCATCTAATCCAGCTAAGCTTTTTCGACTTGAAGGTTTTATTGCATGCAATACTTTCCACAAACTTGAATCAGATAATGGTATATAATTGTTTTCATTACAACTTTTTTGATAGAACATGATAGCGTGGCTATATTTTGTCGTCAGTATTGCATGCACTATCTTTTGTTTTTCACCGCTGTCGTATTTTAATTTGGTTATTCCATAAGCAACATCATGCAAAATACCGCTTGTAAATATAAAGTCTAAGAAATGTTCACACTTTGTTTGATCAAGACTAGATCGGACGAATACTTTCTTCTCTGGAAATGCCAACCCTTTATGAGATGCATGCCATTTTCTTGCTGTTTCTATACGATGTTTGGTACACTCAAATGTGTTCATTATAAACTTTTTGGTATACTTGGTATGGTCTAATAATGAGAGGATAACTAACTTTCCCATGGAATCACTTTGCTTATATACTTTCTCAGCACGAATAATTTCAATTGGGAGAGGGCTATTTATTTCATCAACATTTTTACTGTTAAGAAAATCTATAAGTATTTCCTCTTGTCCAGGAGCAACAGCTTCCGCAAATTTTTTCTTTAATAAGTTTTCTAGGCGAACATACTTGCGTTTTAACTTATCTTTAGTAGTATTTTCCAGATATTCGAACTTCCTTTTTAATCTAAATTTTATTGGACTTGCATTAAGAACCTCAGTTACACTCTCACGGCTTCTTAGAGATTCGTCCAAAATCTCCTGTGAAACATTAATTTCACCGGGATCAAATTCTTCATTTGGAGTAGTAGGTGTCATATATGTTTGTTCTTGTTGTGTTTGTGTTTCTGTACATAAATTGGTGTTTTCGTTGACTCTAGATAAAGCAGTTTCTTGCTTTAAATGGGTAAAACACAGCATTGCACCAACTGAAAATACTTCATTGTATCGCTTTGACATGACTTTGATATGACGACATGTATTGGTGACGCCCTTAAAGCGGGAGATTTTTTTCCTTTTATATTTAGATGGTGAGGATGAAAGCATGTTTTTGGAGGACTCCATGCAATACCAAACGTGTACCGGTGAAAAGCACATATTTGTTCATCCTTTTCAAGATTTCTTTTAAGTCTATTTGCAATAAGTCCATTTTCTTCCCAAATATTATTATCGTTTAATCGCATGACCTAAAAACAATTTTTTAAACAATTATTAAGTGTGTCATTTAAAGCATTGTTTATAATCTGACTCTTCACGAAAAATGTTTACAAGTTTGAAATACATTGTTGTTATTATTAAAATACAATATTGCAAGAGTGTGATTAATTTAGTGATTATTTATTAAAAGAGTGAGGTATTAATTAAAAGAGCTATTTTTTTTTTGTTTAAAGAACTTTGTCTCAAAATCTTATTGCAGAGAAGTTATAAAGTATGTAATTATAAAAATTATATTACAGTCTGTGTAAATTTAAAATACATAATTACCTTTAAGTTGATGAGGTGTTTCTTAACATCAACATCTCCCAGCTGATGAATGTAGAACATTTTGTTTATAATTTTATGTTTTTTGAATGATCCACAATTTCCTTTTAAAAAGCAACAACAGTTTTCATAAAAATATTTGTTTTGTTCCATACTCAACTAAAAACAAGTTCTATTTATGCAGTACCTATTTCTCAATAGCAATGATAAAATATCTACTCTATTTATGCAAATTTTAAAGATTGTTAAAATAAAGTTAAGACATTTTTATGGTAAAGTAAACAACCGCCCACTAACTTGTTTCTCCACAATCGTGATATCAGCGATTCTTCTTCCATTCGATCACCACAAGTTATTTGGTTATGACGTAAATTTAAATAATTCACTTCTGATCATGTATTGTTTTTTATTATTATTTATTTCAATTGTTATGATTTCTATATCATAGTCAGAAACGCTTAAATTTTTTCTTAACATTACGTGCAATGTTTTGTGTAATGCTAATTGCTAATTTTGGATGATAGAAATTTTATTGTTAGCGAAAACCTCATCTGTGTGTCCAAAAAAATATCTCTTCGTACTTAATCATTTTTAACAATTTGTACCTTTATTTTTAACTTAATATCTAAAGATCACATGAGTTTTTTTTTAAACTATGTTAGGGTCATCTTATATTGACCATTTAACATGATTATATTTTTACAAAACTTAGCGCCTCTGCCGTAATAGCTCATTTTGTAAGTATACTATAATATTTTTTTCCAATTTCAAGCCTTAATATATATTAATAGGCCTTAGGTATCACATAACTTTCTTTGCATTTTTAGACTCAATACCTTTGATAATTTCAAATCCTAAAAGAAAAATTGTGTGCAACACTTCGCCGCTAGAATTAACTCCGATTAGAAATTGACAAAACTGATTGATTTTGTACTTTTGAACTATGATAATTAGCCAACCGCACAGTGTCACGCAACTTTTTTATATTTTTTGGAGAGAGCTTTTGGGTTACGTCTGATATTAACTACAAAAGCTATGTGCAACTTTTTGCCTTGCCAAAAAAATGAGTTCAAAGGTGGCAAAAACTAAATTTCTAAAAATTTTTAAAAAAATCTCAAAAATTTAAGCCCAGATTCCGAGTGAACGAAACATTTTTGAAATTTTTTTTTTCCCTAACAGGTTTTCTCTATATTCTGATCAATATATAAAAAATTCAAGCAATTTGGACGAGGTCACTTCCATTGACTGCCTGATTCTTACAAAAAATGACTCTTAAACATTACTCAATAAAGTGCAAAAAAGTGCAGCTAAAATTTTGCAGCTTAGTTTTTTACACTATTAGTGAGATGTTGATACAAAAATTAGGGTGGAACTAGGTGGAACATTTTTTGTAGCCACCTTTTTGTAAAAAGTCTTTTTTTTTTTTATTTCACTAAAAAAGTTATTTTTTAGTTTTAAAGCAATTTTTTAGGAATTTTTTTGTTTCAAAAATATTTTCCATATTTAAAGAAATAAAACAACACGAATAAGTAATTACACTTTTATTTTAAAACTTTTGAATAGTTTAAAAAGCTATTTTAAGAACACGTCAAATTATCTGCAAAGTTGTCTTTTAATTTATGTAAATGTAATTTTGGCCACTTTTTAAGGTTTCTGAGGCACTGTGCGTTGGTTTGAAAAAAGTTATTAGTAAAATGAGTTGGGACAAGTCCGAGCTTATATTTGAGCATAAATAAAATATTTTGGTAGAAATTATTTTGATAGATATTTAAAGCATTTAAGTTTTTAAGTAAAGGATCGGCATGAATGAATTTATTTTTATTATAAATCAATCTTGATGCGTGTTTTTGGTATATATAGAGAGAACTTAATTTAGATTTATTTGTACTTGCTCAGGAAATATTAGCATATGTTAGACAACTTTGTGTATAAGAAAAATAGAGAATTTTTAGTTTCTCCTGGGAAAGTATAGGTTTGACTTTGTAAAGTATGCTGATACCTTTTGATATTTTTGTATTTAATCTTTTTATATGGGCTTTCCAAGAAATCGCTTTGTCAATAATTATCCCAAGAAATTTAATAGTTTCAGTTCTTTCGATGTTGATGTTATCAATTTTTAATAATGGTAGCATGGTTGGTATTTTATTTTTTTCTGGTTAGAATAAAACAAGATGTATTTTGTTTTTTCTGTATTTAAATATAATTTATTAACTTTGAACCAAATGTTTAGACTCTCAAGGTCATCGTTCGCAAGTTCAAAGAGATTTCCAGATTAAAGAGAACTTGGTATTGAGGTTTAACTTTCTCCAGTTAATTGTCACATAGAGGCCACACACCAATGCCCGCGAAGACAAATTCAGCTCGCTAAAGAGCATCATAACCCATTTTGGTGGATTATGAGAAAGTGAGTTTTAAAGAAGAACAGAAGTAAATAAGACTAACAGTCAGAAGTAGTCAAGTTAAAAAGACATCATAAAGAAAACCGAACTGATATTGCACTTGATGTTAGAATGTATTATTCGATAAGCAGAGAAGAAACAAAAAATGTAAATGTAAATTTGATAACCCACCGTCTAATTGCCATACAAATTTTGTCATACAAAGCCTGTAATCCAACTTGGTATTGTGGTTTATCCTCCTCCGGCTAATTGCCATATAGAGACCGCATTACCAAAGCCCGCAAAGACAGATTCGGCTGCCCAAGGAGCGTCATAACCCGTTCTACGGACCAAGAGTAAAGTGAGTTTTGGAAGAACAAAGATATGTTGGAGTGAAAGACAGAAATAGTCGAGTTAGAAAGATAGCATAGAGAAAGCGGGCAGAGTTGCACCCGATGTTAGAAGCTAAAACGTACTGTTAGCTAGGTTCACCAAACTAATGTACGCCGACAAATGAGTTGATTGGAGTTCACTTAACATGAGCTCTTCCTCAACTTTCTTTGTCGTCCTGTAATCCAACTTGACACAACACACTTTATTGAAAAAAATCGTCATATTTTTGTTTAAACCAGCCAAACTTGTATTATTTTTTGCTTGTGATCACATCTTTCTTTAATTTTTTTTATTTTGGTTGTTTTATCTAAAGCATTCATGTTTATAGCTAATAAACTACAGATTTACTAGCTTCAGATTTGCCACTATGTCATAGTTAACATACCTACGATCTATAGCTATCGTTATTTCGTAAAGACATCGTTAATTACAATTAAATTACTGCAACATGTAGCCATCGACTAGCTACAGATTTGTCATTATGTTTTGTTTTATTTTTTTGTATGTTTGTTTACCTTCAATAAAAAAAAATTACAATGACAGAACAGCTTTTTTACAAATATAATCGGTAGGACTTCCAGAAGATCATACAATCTTATCATGAAGCCATTTACAATATCAAATACAATAATCAGGACCGTGCAGAGGGTGCGTCACCTAAGCAAATTGTTCGGGGCTCCGGGCCCTATGGGGGCCTCCAACAGCGGCAATAATATTCCGGGTTTTTTTTTCCTTCTTTTTTTTCCCATCAAGAGCTTTAAATTGAATAAAAAATCAAAATAGCTCATTAAGTTTAATGAAAATTGACGCAAAAAAGAGCTTAAAACCTTATACTTCTTTTAAAATAAATTTAGCGTTGCGTAATTTATAGTCGATCCCTAACCCTAATCTGGAGTTTTAGAAAGAAACCTCTTTCCCCATTTGACTTATTAAATAAAATTTCTGAAATGATGCTTGGAGAACTCTTTAGAAATATTGTGATTTTTTTTTTTTAATTGCGTATTTTTGCTTTAATTCCAGTGACAGTGGCCTCAAGTGAGTTTTCATTCAGTAAATTGAAGCTCAAGAATTTTTTGCGCTCAACTATGGGACAAGAACAAACAAGTAACCTCACCATTTTGAGTATCGAGTGTTTATGAGCACAAAATCTTGACATCCATGATGTGATTGAAGAGTTTGCTTAATAAAAGACAAGAAAAATAATATTGTAAGAAACAAAAGGTGGACTATTGAATTATACTTATACATCAGTAATATAATCAAAAAGTTTGAGCAGGACTTTTTTTTTTTGGAGTAAGGGAGGTGGGCCCCCAAGCTGAAGGATGTTTAAGGTCCCCAAACCCTGTGCACGGCCCTGATAATAATAATAATAATAAAATCAAATTAACCAATAAAAATAAATTAACATAATTTATATATAACTGTGCATTTAAAATATAAATATACTGGATAAAATATATGAAACAAAAGAACTAAAAACAAGGAAAATTTTTTTGCTGAAAAGATAACTTCTTTTAATTTTTGTTTGAAAGAAGTTAAAGTCCATTTCAAAGATAAATATAAAATTTGGCAAAACTATTTTATTCCATAAATAAGGACCGCGATAAGAAATAATTAGTTGTTCAAATTTAGTTTACCAGAAAGGTTCTTGTAGATTTTTTCCATTGCGAAGATTGCATTTGTTTATGGGTTTTACATTATAAAGGTTTATAAATACATCAGGAGATAAATAAGTTTTATATTTAAACATGAATCATAAAATATTATGAAGATATTTAAGAAGTGGTTTTGAATTCGAAAAACGATTTACAAAATTAAATAAGCGAACTCCTTGTTTCTGATACTGATAAAGAATTGTAAGTTAAGTTTGGTGCGCGCTTTCCCCATACAATATTTGCATAATTTAAATGGCAATCGATAAACGAATAATATAGTTGTTTTAATTGTTGTTTATTTAACATATGTCGAACTTTATATATAACTCCAATACTTTTAGCAACTTTCAAGGAGATATTATCGATTTGTTGTTTCCAGGATAAGTTTTCGTCTACATGAACTCCAAGTAGTTTTGTAACTTTTTCCCTTTAATGTATTGTATTATCAATGAATAGGTCGAGCATCGTATTTGTTAAAAATTTTTTTCTGGATATTGAATTAATAAGTGTTTACTTTTTTAATTAATATTGTGGACAATCTTTTTTTCTTAAACCAAAATGAGATTTTATTTAATTCTTGTGTAATATTATTAAAAAGTGTATTTATGTTTTCATGAGATTGGAATAGGTTTTTGTCATCAGCAAAAATTATATTGGTTAAGTTAGAGGCTCTGTTAAGGTCATTTGTATATACTAAAATTATAGGGGCCCAACTATGGATCCCTGTGGGACACCACATGTTACATTCATTAATAAAGGCAAAGAAGAGTCTTGGATATTAATGAACTGCTTACGATTACTAAGATAGCTTTCGAACCAGCTTAGGGATTTATCTTTAATTCCATAGAGTTTTAATTTTTTTTAATAAAATGTGCTGACCAACAGTATCAAAAGCTTTAGACAAATTGATGAATACTCCTAAGGTATAATGAGAATTTTTAAAAGAATCGGAAATGTTACATTTAGTTGGAGTATGGCGTGTTCAGTAGAATTGTTTCTCTGGAAGCCAAATTGATTATTATATAAAAGTTTAGTATCAACAAAATAATTCTTTCTAATAATTTACCGAAAATTGGAATAAAACGATAATTTGTAATATTACAAATGTTAACTGATTTATAATTAGGAGTTATTTTTGCTACTTTTAAAGAGTCTGTAAAGGATCCTTGAGCAATAGGTGCTCAGTACCAAATCAAGGGGGCTAGAGGGGCTACAGCCCCGGGCCCCGCAAATTTAGGAGCCCCAAAAAAGTTTAGAGAAACTTTTTTTTTTTTCAAGTCATTTTTAAGCTCTGACCCATAAAAAGACCTCCAAAAACAAAAATAGCCCCGGGCCCCAAGAAGTCTTAATCCGCCACTGTAGATGCTTTACAAGTTTGAAAGAGTATATCTTTCAAAACGTCAAATGAGTCTATTACAACTTTTCCATTGATGCAATCAGCCCCTAATCTTTTTTGTTTCCCTTTTTTTGTTGCAATTGCCTTATTTTGTTTTAATGATTTAAACGCTGCTTCAAATTCGCTGTACGTTTAAAAAAGGTTTGAAAAATTTAAAGTTAAATTAGGTGATGTTATAAACTCATTAATCCCAGCGGGAATTTTATTTTAAAAGCTACGTTCTAAATGTATTTAAATATCTTTTAAACGTTTTCTAAACATTCTTCTGTAAAGAACGTTTAAAAGGCGTTTAAAAAACGTTTAAAAGACATCTAGAACGTAACTTTTAAAAATAAATGCCCGTAGGGATTAATTTGTCATTAAGATAAGAAATTTTATTTGATAAGCTTGATCGGTTGAAGAAAAAAATTTATTAAATTCAAAAACAATTTTTTTAGGGTCATTAAATAATTTATTTTTAATTTTTATTGCTTTTGGTACTGATATCGTACTTTTCTTATTTTTTTCCTGCAATCTTTTTCATTAATTGCCAAATACGCTTTGAATTATGTTTGTGCTTTGCAAACAAGTCGGATTAGTAATTTCTTTTCGCAATTTTGCAGAGTTTCTCAAAATTATTTTTATAAATTAAGTAGTTATTTTTATTATTGACTGATTTATATTTTAGATATTTATTATACAGTTTTTGTTTTACTTTCGATGATTTTCTGAAGTCCTTTAGTTATCCAAAGACATGATGCGTCCTTGGCGTTAAGGATTATTTCACGAATAGGGAAGTTTGGGTCATAGATGGGTTTAAATGTTTTAAGAAAAGAATCGTAGATCAGGCTTATATCATCATTGAAGTTAATATTGCTCCAGTTTTGATTCGAAAATTGTTCCTAAAACAATATCAAATTATTGCTATTGTATACACGCTTTTTTATAGTTGTTTTACTCAGAAGATAATTTGCATTTATACAAAAAAAAAAATAAATAAATAGGAAAGTGATCTGAGACATCTGTTTTAACAATACCATTTTTAAGCAGTTTGTTAAAAAAAATCATTACTTAAAATGTTATCTATTAAGGAAGATAAATGATTTTTTATTCTTGTAGGTTTATTTATTATAGGTATTGTTCCCGTTTCAAATAAGTCGTTGTAAATTTTTTTTTATGTTTTGGTTTTTATTATACTCTAAGCAGTCCAAATTAAAGTCCCCTATCATGTAATATTTTTTTTTTTCTTGATTAATTTTTTCTATCAAGTCATGTTTTAAAAATTACTTAAGTGTTTAGTTCTTCCAGTAGTAGGCTGATAACAACAGCTTAGTAGAACGATTTTAGATTTTTTGTTTATAATTTCAATTGTTAAAATCTCTTGATCTTTATCAGAAACACTCATATCCAGTGGCCATTTCAAGGATATATTTTGGTATATGCGAGATCACGGTTTGGCGCCCCCTATTATAAAAAAAGTGTACCTGTTAAAAATATTAAAAATATATGTTTTGAGAGTTTATATTTTCATATGTTTTTAAATAGAAATAGAATAAGTGTTACTCAGGGCTGTACTGGGGGTGGTCAAGCGGCCCGGGACTGTAAACCAAGCGGTCCGGCCCACATACAGCAATACTAAGTCATTAAGGGGCGGGGGAGGATGAGGGGGGTTCAGCTGGGAACTTCCGACTTGCATAGCAACAGCAAAAAAATTCGTATCATGTTCAGGAGTTAGATAAAATTACGGCGACATTTTTAAGGCCTACAAATTGTAGACTGCTTCACATTTTTATTCTTGCATAATATATATTTATATATATCTATATAGGTATATAGCTACCATTTACCATACAGGTATAATATAGAAGTTTCAATATGTTTTAATAGGTAGCCGAAAATATCGCTCGAAAAGTTACAACTATACTATAATGTGCAAGCTCTCTGCTCTACTACAAAACAATTATTTGACTAAGTTGCACAAAAACATCTGATAATCGACTTTGATGCTTTAACAGTAATATTTATAGCACGTACCTTATACATGATATAGTTAGTGCAAAAATGCATTCGACCAATAGAATCTGTATTGCAATCATAAAAGGTATACATGCTGTCTCCAGAATTCTGTGGTTATAATGTGTTGCACTCGATATTAACAAAAAAAATAACCCATCAATTATGATTTGGTAACGTCCGTAATAACATAATGTTTCTGACGCCATATTATCGAAACTTACCGAATGTGGATGGTAGTGGATCAAAGGACCAGATGTGTTTTTAGCCCAGGTGCGATTTCTGCAACCGAGTCGATGATGTCTTCGTTGGACAGCCCAACCATAACATCTACTTCGACAGACATCAGCATGAAAGCTTCTAAATGCGTGGACGACATTGAACTTCGCAGTCTATTTTTAATGTATTTTAATTTGGAAAAGGACCGTTCACACGCAACTTGAGTAGACGATAAAGTCAGCAAGAGCTTATAAGCATTGTACAAATGGGTGTAGGCTTTGCTGTAGAAATTGTATTTGTGTAAAACCGTGAAGCAACAGACGGGGCAATTTTTGCAACTCTTGCATTTACCATGAGCTTCTTTGTCTTCAGAGAACGAAGAAGAAACTGCATTTTCCTCGTCGTTCTCCAATTCATCGTTGTCGTTTCGGTTTTCCGCTAAGTTCATGCCCAAATACTCTTCAGGAACGGTCTTCTTAAATTTGCTCCACTTGAGCGAAAAGTCGATGAGTTCGGATTGTAAATTTGAAGCTGTTGCATCTTTATTAAATTTTGTTAGAATGCTGCTGAGACGTACTAAGGCAGTAGGTTGGATACCGTTTTTTTTGATATCGTAGAAATTTTCCGGATTCAAGCACGCCATGTCAGCGAACAACGTGTCTTGAGCTTTCTTCCAAAGTTTTCACTACTTTGTCCATAACGCAGTTGTGTACCGTTATCCTGTAGCAATCAATTGCGCGATCTCCGACAGCCTCGTGAGTGCGTCGCTCACCACTCATTGCTTTTGGGACGCGAACTCGTTTCTCTGGCAATGCAGCTTCAACCGTCACATCAATTTTCAGATCTTCCAATGAGTTGTTGGCCCACTCGACAAATTTTTTAGCGCTCGCATTAATGTCATCAAAGTCTCTGGACACGTCTCGCAGTGCCTTGATAGTGCAGTCAACGTTTCGGTAGGCTTGGAGCACGTCCATCCCACTTGTCTGCAGGTACTTGGAAAGTGATGCTGTGTGTTGGAATATACGCAAAAAAACTTGAACGGTAAGAATTGTTTCAAATGAGATCCACTTATCTAATAGGGTTTGGGCGGTGTCGCAAACAGTTGGGTTAAAGTCTTCAGAGGAGGCTAACTCTTGTAAAGTTTCAATTAGCTCAATATACAAGGACGTCGATGGGTTGTTGAAGCTTCCAAATATTTTTTTTAATGCATGGTCCTTTGCCCACCAGCGTGTCTCGCCAATTACATTTAGTCTTCTATTGTTTGATTGTTTTGACGCCCATATATCCATTCGTATATATGATTCGCGCAAGAAAACAGCACATTTGTTTATAAGCTGAAATATACTGATAGCAGCTTTGGTGGTTTGTGTGGTATCAACAAGAACAAGATTCAATGCATGAGCGTAACACCACACATGCACTTGGTTTGGGGATGCCTCACTGAGCCATTTTGTGAAACCGGAATATTGGCCCTGCATGTTTGCCGCCCCGTCTGTAGAGTTTCCCACACAGTTGTCAATGTTTATGCCCATTTTGACAATTTCATCCCGGAACAGCTCGAACATACCCTTGCCTGTCGAATTAGTACAATTGCTGACGGATACCAGTCGCTCGTAAATATGGTCTTTAACATATCGGATTACAATCGAGCATTGATCCTTTACGCTGAATCTCATCTGCAATCGATGCCTTAATCATACGGCGAGCAGATTCAATTACATAATTGACAGTAGTGCTTGAAATAAATGTTACTAACCCTCCTCGTCCCTTCGTTCCTGATGCTGCGCACGTGACATGTCGTTGCTTACTTTTCTCCATCACGATGTCAAGATGATTTTTCATAAGCGGGTCAAATTTAGACAGAAGGATTAAAATTTCTAAAAAGTTCCCGTGGTCAATATTGACATTGTCCAAACAGTAGGCTGCGTCATTGATAGATCTGTAACTAAGTCCTCGCTTTCCAATAAGTTTAACAATTTCTATCACACGTTCTAGAACTTGCCGTTTTTCTTTAACTTGAGCAGCTCTCACATTTTTTTGATTTGAAAAAAGCAAGCTATATCCGTCCTTGTCATTGCTCGACATAATGTGTGCCTCTACACTCCTGCAATGGTGTTTACTCGATTCGTGTTCTTCGATTCGTTGGTGAACATGCTTCCAATCATTCATGCCATCAGTAAATGCATTGGATTCACTAGCTTTGCTGTAGGCCAGACACACTGTGCAAAACATGGCCTTCGAACTGTGACAGTAAGAAAGCCAAACCCTATTGATATTGTCTTGGCTTCTATAAAACACTCGACGAACATTTGAAAATGGTAAATTTTCCCCATCCTCTTTTGGTTGAACCGGATGACTCTTGAAAAATGATTCAAGGCACTGCGATTGTGGACGCATGAAAATTTCCGAACACTGATTCTGAGGCCGGGAGTCAGAGGATACAGATTTCTGGGATGGAGTTAGCACAGTGCAGCTCACGGAGGCTCAGACGGCAGGACCGGCTTGATCGCCGTCAGAAATTTGAGAACCTAAATCATCAACCAGAGTATCACCACCAAACTGGGTGGGGGTACTTAGTCTAAAAAGTTCGGTTATCTTTTTACACTTTTCTCCCCCTTGAAGAAGAAGCTTTTGTTTCTTTTCACGTTGCATTTCTGCCCCGCCTTTACTTTTCCGCTTCAAATCTTCACTCATCTTATCAAATATATACGTAAGGAGAAGACTATAATATTAGAGGCCCATTTAAGTTTACATTTTAACTTTATAACTATTTTGCGGACAAACATGGAAACATACATAAAATGAAATGTTCTCAAAACGACTAAAAAATCTGGCCAGTTTTTCGCAACTAAATATTATTTCCGTGGTCAACGATCGCTCCGATCGCTCCCGCTTCCCGAATACGCAATCATCAACTTTTCACTTTATGCTACACGTAGTTTCACACACTGTTTTCAAATGCCGTTTTCACCGTTACACGACCTGTCACTTCAAAAGATTCACTTCACAAAATGCAATCATTAAAAATACGAAATATCTCACTGCGGATGGTATCGCATAATTATCGCTAGCCTTTGAAGTCAAAAGCAAATCAAAACAACCTGCTAAAAACCAGGCGGCCCACCGGGAATTGTCCCGGTGTCCCGGCGGCCCAGTCCAGCCCTGGTGTTACTAACATAATTGCTTCTTAAAAATTGTTAATACAGAAAAACTCTTTTCTCCTCTGACCACAGATACCGGGAGCAAAAGCAAAATTTTCAATACTACGTAGACATAGGAATGAAGTCAATCAAACAATTTTGAAAATGTTGACAATGACAATGTTGTTTAGGGAAGCTATCGTTCTATCTATCGTTCGGCAACATTGGAGCTAAGATTATAATTTCACCTAACAGTTCATTCTGGTTGACGTTGCTCTTGCCATCAACTGTCAAAACGAAGTGCAAGTTTTTTAACTTTTTTTTAACTGTATCTGTTTCACATATTTTATTTTTTATAGAGGAATTCGAAATGTTTCCTGCGATTTTCCATCTGTTCAAATCTTTCTCTAATTGCAGCGTCTAATACTACAAAAAAGAAATTTTTAAAAATTGCCAACTTCACAGGTTCTCTCTATTCTTCGTAGTAAAATTGCTTTTTGATCTTTCTTGGCTTGACCATAACTTCATCAGAGAAATTTAGATTGATGAGAGATGCCCCGAAGGGGAGAGTAAAAGGGTTACTAGCCCACCTACGAAATTTATTATTCGTCATATTGGACACTTGAGATAAATCTATGTTGGCAGTCGGCAAATGTTTCTTTAAGATCTTTTCGGGACGGCCCTGGATTGATATCCAGTTTTTCTACCAGTTCCATGGCATCTATAATAACACTATACAGCCCATTTTCGGATCTCATGTTCTCCAAAAAAGTCTTGACACTTTCAATTAGTTTTAAAGCGCACTGCAGATTAACAGTTTTCGTCTTAAGTGTTTTGCTTACTAAATTTAATTTGAACAAGACATCATACCGAGAGACTAAAGAACAGAAGAATTAGAAATCTGTAATTTTCTTGATAATTCTCATAGTGGTACATTTTCCAAAAGTATTAATCCTAAAATCTTTCGATTAGAAAACGTCATAAACCTCATCAATGTGGTACCGCAAAGAATTAAGGGCGCCTATCCTGCTCTCCTAACGGATTTTACTTGGAGGATTAATAGTCAAATTGTTTACATAATTTGTTAATGTACTCCATTAAAAATTGATCCAGAAAAAATGTTTTGAATCTCCTGAATATTGCTGAAAAAGTTAACAGCTTGAGTGCAGAAAAAAACTACATCATTGACTATAAGTTTTAGTGAATAGCTTTCACAAGAAACAAAAAACGCTCGTGGGTCAAAGTCAAGGATCTTTTTTTGTACGCCTACGTTCTTTCCTTTTATGTTCGATCTATTATAAAACCTTTGCCATGCATATTTTGTAAGGATGTTCCTTTTTTTAAAAGCTCGTCAAACAAGCAAGCTGTCAACCCTTGCCCAAATATTTCTGAGACATGAACAAATCCAAGAAAATAGTTCCTCACCTTTATTTCTTCCAACCAAAGTACATGTGTCTTTTATTCAATCAGGAGTTCAGTCAAGATTTATAGAATAATACAAAATTTTCTGCAGTTCACACAAGATAAACTCAATAACTTTACAGGAAAGAACACCCATAAACTCATTTTGAATTTTTTTGCTTAAAGAATGTACATGATTTTTTTAGCAGTTACCTGACGAAGATGTTCAGAAAGAACAGTGTTAAATTTTGAAATGGGTTCAAAAAGTTTTTAAAAGTTTTCATTATTTTCTTTGAAAACTGTTTCACTTGTTCCACCATAAGCTAATTCTTGAGTACCAAGGAATTGCACAAAGCGAGGAGTTAAAACTAAAGTTTTTGTTTTAAAAAAAAGACTTTGTACTGCATTTTTATACATTTTTATTTTTAGAAAATGCTAAACCTTAAATAAAAATGAAATTGATGTACTTTTACTGGTACTTGGTTGTAAATTAAAGCGCTTTTGTACAGAAAAAGATATTCAACTGCTTCATCAAGAATGTCTAAGGGCTGTGAAGTTTCTCCTGACGTCTTTTGACGTCTGTTCTGACGTCTTTTGCGCTTTGAGTACAAGTTGTTTTATTTTTCGTTTATTATGATTTTAATTATGGTTAAAAGTACACCCAACACCGAACATCAAGAATATTATAAAAATAGAAAACAATAGTTATTAAGGCTTAAACAAAGAGTAACCAATTAACTTATTATTATTTTGTATTTATTAACAAAGTTAATTGTAATAAACTCATTCTTATTGTATCTTTATTCATATTGTATCTTATCTGCAATTGATGCTGATTATTGTTTAAATCTTGGTTTTCCAGTCAATAGAAAAATTTAATCAACGTATTTGTTTGTTTTTTTATTTTCTCTCTACATATCTCATTTGTGTTTTCTATAAAATAAAATAAAAAAAATCCCAAAGGTTTCTTTTTTTCCGCCATGATGACTCAAAAACTTATTCTTTCAAATAATTAACTTACTACTGTAATTACTTCTACTTTTTACTGTAATTATTTTTTTCATTGAAGTGCAGAGACAAATACATACAAAATCAGTTTTAAATAAAAACTTTGGCGCCCCTTAATGTCAGTTTACAATTTAATAAACATTTAACATGATTTAAATAAACAATTATTTAATTGTATAATTCACTCATTAAATAATTTAACTCATATATATATATATATATATATATATATATATATATATATATATATATATATATATATATATATATATATATATATATATATATATATATATATATATATATGTATATATATATATATATATATATATATATATATATATATATAATTATATATATATATATATATATATAGTTACCTGGATTTCTATAAAGCTAGCTAGTCGCTAGCTTTATATTCGGGTAATTGTTTAAATCCGGGTAACTATTTAAAATTGGGGTATGTTAATAGAAAAACGTTGCAATTTTTTTCTTTAGATATGTTTTAAGCCTAAATTTGCATAATCAATTCAGACCCGAAATATGTTTTTAAACTAATACTCTTTAATTTACGTTCCTTGGCAGGAAATATGCAAATTTTTTTTTAAATGACAGAGCTTTTTTTTTTTTAATTTTATTTAGGTGCCCCAAGAAATCCTTACGGTCTTATTACAGAGCACTGTGGATGAGCATTTAAATGAAAACAAAGGATATGAAACTACATGACCTTTGTTTCTGAGGCAAGTGAGCTACCACTTATAAGTAGTAGCTCTAAGTGGTAGTTTTAAGCTTAAATTGCCTAAAATTTTCCCGAAATAATTTTTTCGAATGCAAAGGGAAATAATTCAATGTGTATTTTAGGTAAATTATGGCAAGTGATTTAAGAATATTATTCAGTTTTTTTTTTTGTACTAAAAGTCTTAAAGAAGCTTTTTGATACTATATGTTAAAGGTTTGCTTAAATGTGTTAAACTTCATCTACAGTATTAGTCTAAAACGACTTAGGGCATCTAGTAGCTGTTTTATAAAAATTGCTTAAATATTTTTTCATGAAGTTTTTCTGGTGTTTTTTGTAAGTTCTGGGCGTAATCCCTTAGATAGATAATATAATTATTTATAGACATATAGATAATATGTCTATTTATTTTATTATATTATCATATAGCATATGATAACAAAATAAAATAAATAGACACGGACCTTACGGATTGCCGTTTTGATCTAATGACTGATCAATAATCCTCTATTATTATATCCTTTTTTTTTTAAAAGCAAAACAATCTAAAATCAAAAAAGATAAAGTTAAACGTTGTAAAATTAAATTGTCGTATTACCATACTATTTACAGCAAAAATAAATTTAATCTATTTCAGTCAGCATCTATTCTAGAATACATTGTTCAGCAATGAAAACTGACAATCTAAGTCAGCTTCATCAATCACTCTGTTTTCAAAGAGCACTTAGAATGTATGCTAATATATATATATATATATATATATATATATATATATATATATATATATATATATATATATATATATATATATATTATTTAAGTGCCCCAAGAAATCCTTTCGGTCTTATTACATCTAGTGATAAGACCGTAAGGACTTCTTGGGGCACCTTATCTTATCTGGTGTTTGCTGTTCATTTTCTACTTTGATATTGATGTTACTGATAAATGCTGATTTTGATCTAATGCACATCCTTGTTGCTGCTGCTCTGTTATAACATTGGCTGTAGATTTTAAACATTTTGTTAACTTTGGTAGTTTTTGGTATTGTAAATCTTGTTTTGATTTTCCAACTAATCTATTTTTCTTTTTTCATTACCTGAGCCACTTGGTTG